AATACGTTTAGCCTTAATAATACTGAATTAAAAATACGGAATTAAAGTAATACTGAATTAAATAATACTGAATATTATACTATATATATATATATTCATATAAATATTTATATTATTTATATTATATAAATAATACTGAACTAATACTGAATTAAAAAATGTAGTGAAAAAAATGAAATTGGATTATTTATTGTGCTATTGTTGTTGTGTATATATATACCGTATCTTTCCTAAATTTATGTAAAAGTGCTAAATCACATAAACCTCAACCTCATCGACGTCAACGATTTCTCACCTATATGCTGTTAATCATAAAACGAGGCAACTTTATTTGATACCCGCTTGAACGTGAGCAGTTACTCTTTTATCTCCATCCACCGTTCCCACTCTTTTCTTCCTCTGCCTCATTGTTGATTCAACAAACACCCTTTTTTTCTCTCGCAATTGCTGTGATGTTACATTAAACTGGAGAGGGAGAGTGATAAGGGTAGAGATAAGACACTACTCCTGCCTTTCTCTCTCCGTCTCTGTCTTGGAGCGCTGCTAATGTCTCGTTGTATGAAGTGGCCTTGTGTGCCGAGTACAAAACGGTGAGCGGCAGTTACATAAAGAGACCCACTCCTAACATTAACCAGCCACCGAGAACAAAGCATACGCTAAAACTTAATAGCCATCTTATTCCATTTTAATTAGGTGACTAATGGATGGACGGGTATACATGAAAGATGGGAGGAAGAGAGATGGCACTGAGAGATTGCTCGTTTATTGATATAAAGATGCTGAACTGAAGAGCCGCTAAAGAGGCTCGCGTATTTGAACTTGGATGTTTGTCGTCACCCAGAAACGTTTCTTCTGGTTAAAGCGAGGGAAATTGATGGACAATTTTTGAAAGAGGCTGCACTTCACTTTCTAAATTTTTAAATGAGCCTTTAGTTATGAATAAGGATACTATGGGTAAATAAACTGCCAGAAGAATGTGGGATTTGTTTATTAAAGACTCTTGATGCGTCTGTCCGATTTTTTTATTCAGATGCAGTTACTGCTGTAGAAATTATTTGAGGATCTACTACAAATGATTAAACTTTTTATAATTAAATAATGATAAGAAACCTTGTAAATATTTATAAACAGATATTAAAGTACCATGAATAGTAGTAATTTAATGAATCATTTTAAAACATATTCGCTCAATCTTTTTGACTTTTTGGCTCTCGAAGAAACTGAATACTTTTTTTATTTTCTTTTACTGATAGAGAATATTTCAGGGCTTGGGTTAAACAGAAAAACATACATCAAAATTAAGTGGAAAGTAGCCAAAAACAACAGTGTAATATTTTCTATCATCTTTCTTTAAAACATAGGGCTCAAACTCAATTCCTGGAAGGCCGCAGCTCTACAGTTTTGCTCCAACCCTATCAAACAAAGATAATCCAAATAATTGAGGTGTTCAAAAGAATCATGAACACCTTCAATAGATGGATCAGCTGTGTTTGATCAGGGTTAAATTAAAACAGTACTTTGAATTGAGCAGGAATTGAGTTTGAGACCTAGGGCCCTATCATAGACAGGGTGCAATGTGGCACAAGGCGCGACGCAATTGTTGTTTGCTAGTTTCAGCTTGGCGCAAGAGTCGTTTTGACGTTTTGCGCCACGCTGTTTAAATAGCAAATGCATTTGCACTGATATGCACCCATAGGCGTTCTTGTCTAAAAAAGGAGGTGTTTTTAGGTGCATTGCTGGCGCGTTGCTATTTTGAGAAACTATAATAGTCTGTTCTTTAGACCAGAACCAAGCCGGTCTAAAGTCCAGCGCAGAGCGCGTTACTTGTGCTTACTGCTTAATACAAGATGTAGAGCAATATGCAAATATATTAACATATGAAAAAGAATTAAAATATTAATGATATATTAAGGATATATATAGGATATAAATATAAAGGATTAAAATATTACAAAAATATGATTTTTTTCTAGCTACATATATATATAAAAACCATACTTTCATGCCTTCTTCATCTCGGGGGCTTTTTCAGTTCATTCATAACAATTTGCTTTTGTATAATGTTATTAATATTAGCAGTATTATTTATTATATCCATATTTATATTTGTTTTATTTAAAACAAGCTTGGATTTGCCCACCTGTCAGGTTTAAGACCATATGGGGCACAGTATGTGTATTAGGATATAACTAATACACATACTTAAAATTAAAACTGAATTTAGAAATAGTTTTGAAACAAATCTTTGCGCTTAACAAACAAAAATAATTATTTATTGGCTAATTGATGTCTGTGCATACAAGGTTTCCTTTACCACGAGAGCGAAAGTGAAAGTAGATATTGAGATCATTCTCGCGCTGCAGATGTTCTGTTTAACTGTTTTCTTGCTAGTGAAACGCTCAGTTTTTCCACTTACAACGTCCGTCAAGTAAATAGCAAATGTGTTATGGCGCGATGCAACTGACTCTTAAAAGGAATGGGAGATGAGACTCTGAATGGTTTATTCTCAAAACACACCTATAACTCATTAAGAAAAAAAGCTCAACCCTTTCAGACAATGTGCCAAGGCGCAAAGCGGATTTTTCCATCCTTAAAATAGTAAAAGTGGATTCTGACATGCCCTCAATGCGTTTGTGTCCTGCGTTTTGCAAAATAGAGCCCCTATGCTTTAAAATGAAATGCATATATTTTTCCAAAACCTTTGTTGTCACATTTTATTCATAACAACATGAAAGTAGAGTTCAGATTTGCTCATTTTTGAGGGCTTATTGAAAATATTTATATTTTCATTATCAAAAATTGTAGGCAGAAGATCAAAACAAAGAGAAAAAATTTACATTTCCAAGACAAAATGTTTGAAAAAGGCTTCACAATTTTTTAGATTGCATTTTTAATATTAGGCTACCACATATGTTGTATCTGTGTATTTCAAAAGAGAAAATGAAGAATTACACTGTAAAACCAAAAAAGTTAAGGTAACTCAAACCATTTGAGAAAACTGGTTGCAACAAACCATTTAAGTTCAAAAACTAATACTAATGAGTACTGTGGACTTAATCCATTTGAGTAAATGAAGCAATTTGAGCACAGTAAAAACCCAATAAATAAAGAGAACTCAAACCAACTGAGTACTGGAAAACCCAAAAAAGGTAACTCAAACTGTTTGAGGAAACCGATTGCTACAAACCATTTGAGTAAAAAAAAAAAAAAACTAATCTATAAGAGAACTGTGAACTTACTCCATTTAGGTTGAAGTATTGTGGGGTTTAATGAACTCATTACCTTCAAAATTGAGTTCAAAACTCTTTTCAAATGAGTAGAATTAATTTTCACTCAATTTTAAGTCAACCACTCTCATTTCATTTTATAAAGTTGACTGTTGCGTTTAACAGTGTAGTAAAACAAGAAATATTGAGTTTTAGTTGTTTTAGTTCGTAATATGCTATTTTTTCTTTTTACATTTAGTTTTACTCTCTTTTAAAATATCTATTAGCTCCCTTCTAAGTTTGCTAATGCCCTCTAGTGGGCCCCTGCCTATATATCCATAATAGAGCACATAGTAAAAACACAAGTAAGAGATCGCTCTTTCTTGAACTACTTCAGGATTAAATTCAATGAAATTAAAAGTATTAAATTGGGAATAAGCTGCAAAATCAACTCATTAGTTCACTACCTTATCATGTCACACAAATACAGCAATACGTGACTGCCTCCATTTATAGTGCCCAGCATAATTGAGTACATCCCATTTTGAAAATTAATATTTGTATCCATTTCTCAGTGAATATAGGCAATGTATTTTGGTTTAATTAAATAAAACTGATTTATAAACAGATATATTTATTATTATTTTAGTCACCAAACATATTTAGAAATTGAAAGATAATACAATTAAACTCCAGCAAAATATGACAGCCTACAAAATTTCAACTAAACTTTTCTTTTTTTTTATTTCCCTCCTTTTAAAATTTATATGTAATATTTTTCTAACATATAAATTCGGCTGTACTAGTTTTCAGACTGTTATCGAAAGCGATTATTGTTAGATAAGCTCCAGATTTGGCTTCAGAACTGACTAATCTAATGTATATGCACAAATATAATATTGTATAGCGTCCTATTAAAAATATGAATTTAAAACATAAATTTTTGTGTACTTATTCTGTATATGCTGGGCACAGTACATATTGTGTTAGAAAGTCAACAGTGTATTCAAATCAAAGACTGAGGTTAACCAAAATAGCTCTTTTAAACATCCAAAAGGTGTGAAATGACCATGAATATCATAAAAATTGGCTAAATGTATTAAAATAAAGAACAATCAATGTAATTAAACTATAAGTGGACATCGAAGAAAAGAGTGTATATTCAATGCCTTTACAATATACTCTAGTAGGTAAGGGTCTCCTCAGTTTACTTAGTTCTTTACAAAAATGAATGACTGCAATTCAGACCCTTATGCTAAGCTTTCATCTGCTCTTTTCATAGTAAGATCTTTATGGCAAGTTTTCGTTTCTTGGGTGAGAACTGGCCGAACATCTCTGACTGGACTGTTTACAGCTGTTATGACAGCTCCGTTTCCTTTATATTTTCTTACTCACAGCAGCCTTAAACAAGCTTTTACTGCCCAGACAGAAGCATATACTCATCATGCTCTCTTTACATCTCTGTGTGTGTGTATATGTGTGTGTGCTCGTGTGGCTAATTGAAGTCCCTATTCACCGGGATGCAGGTTTATTGTCTGTGCGAAACGAGAGAGACTTCTTCTCTTGAGCTCATTGTTTGGGAATGTAATGAATTTCATGTACTGCCTTTCTCCCGCGCTGCCCACAGAAATCAATTTCTGCCTCTCCTCGTCCCTTTTGTCCCTCCTCCCCTCCAGTCCCTCACTTCATCAATAGACACTTTATTTGCCAATCATAGATGGAAAATGACATTATGAGGAGGCTAAAGAGTGAATCTAACCAGCATCTCTCCCTCTCGTGCTCTCTCTCCCTCAGAACTGTACAAAAACGGGCTTCAGAGGGCTGCTTTTGTGCCTTTCATTGGCGTACTCAAGGTAAAGACAAAGTCATTCTCTCGGTTAATTTATTTATCCTTTCATTCTCTCTCTCTTTCTCTCTTCATGTTTCCTCCTCTGCTCTGTCTGCTTTTTGATGTATTTTATTCACAGGTAAAAAAAAAAAAACAACATAAAAAATACACAACCCCATATGTGTTTGCGAAAACGCACAAAACAGAAAAAGACAGCTTTGATCATACCTGGAGATGAGAGCAACAGACTGAGGGAGAGACAGACATGGAGGCCGTTTAATGACCGGCGTGGGTTGGCTGGAATGAGACAGCATCGCGTGAAGCTGCTTGCATTTCAAAGTGCGCCCGGCCGGCAATGCTCGAATCTGCTTTGCAAGTTAATTGTATTATTTTAAGCAGGTATTGGCATTATCCCGTGTGCTGTCTGGGTAATTATCATCATCCCGCGACAGCTTTCCATCATAAATAATCAGACCATCATTTTCAGGCATTTTACAGCTGGCTGCATTCTTGCACATTTGATTGGTGTCGGTAAACTGGAGCTGAATGTGGTTTGTTTGTGGTATGATGGCGTGAATATTGATTTTTTTTCTTCTTTATGTTCATATGGCAGCAGAATACAGTTCCTAGCTTGTATTTGGACCTGACTTTTTTGGGAGTGACAACCAGACTCACAATTGAAAATCTTTAGGACTCAATGATATTTTCAGGCAGCGTAGACAGAACCGTAGCTGAAAACTGGTCATCTGTCTTGTCACACAGTCTGAGTGAGCAGCTTGCAGTGTGTTCTAGGTTTTTATTGGGAGTTCTGGGAACTTGCAGGAATGAGTCTGGGAAGATGCAGGAATGAGTTTTATATCCAGCCACTTCATCACCATTCACTTCAGGCAGTGTTGCTATGATTACAAGTGAGACTTAACAAATAGAACAGTGTATTAGTGGCCGTCCACTTTTTTCGGCACCACTGGTTTTAGAAGTGTTTTTCCTTTTTATTTTTCACATAAAACTCTTCATAGGAATAGTTTAAATGAATAATTTGAGTTTCTTTCAACTGTTGAATGCTGGTAGTTGGCACCTATTGACTATAGTATTTTGTCCTACTATATGGAAGTCAATGAGTCCCAGCAAATGATGATTGTTAAATGATTTAGGCTTTAGGACTTGGCACATTATCCAGCTGGAAGTTGCCATCAGGAGATGGATATACTGTGGTCATAAAGGGATGGACATGGTCAGCAACAATACTCGGGTAGGCTGTGGCGTTGACATGATGCTCAATTAGTAATAATGGGCCCAAAGTGTGCCAAGAAAATATCCCCCGCACCATTACACCACTACCAGCCTGAACTGTTGAGAAAAAGCACAATGGATCGATGCTTTCATGTTGTTGATGCCAACTTCTGACCCTACCATTCGAATGTTGTACCAGAAATTGAGACTCATAGCAACGTTTTTCCAATCTTCTATTGTCCAATTTTAGTGAGCCTGTGCAAATTGTAGCCTCAGTTTCCTGTTCTTAACAGATAGGTGTGGCACCCGGTGTGGTCTTCTGCTGCTGTAGCCCATCTGCCTCAAGGTTTGACGTGTTGTGCATTCAGAGATGCTCTTCTGCATATCTCGGTTTTAACAAATAGTAACAAATAGTTTAACAAATAGTGCGTGAAAATCTGTAGAACAGCAGTTTTTGAAATACTCAGACCAGCCCATCTGTCACCAACAACCATTCCACGTTCAAAGTCACTTAAATCACCTTTCTTCCCCATTCTGATGCTCGGTTTGTACTGCAGCAGATTGTCTTGATCACATCTACATGACTAAATGCTTTGAGTTGCTGTCATGTGATTGGCTGATTAGAAATTTGTGTTAATGAGCGGTTGGACAGGTGTACCTAATAAAGTGGCCGGTGAGTGTACGTTTAACAAAAAAATGAATCTCATAAATGTTAAAAACCACATGAAGGAGAATACATGAAAAGTTTTTGGGTGAACTATCTCTTCAAAGTGTTTTGAGCCATGAACTAAACCGGGGTGCCCAAACTCAATCTTGGAGCCCTGCAGAGTTTAGTTCCAACCACAATCAGACACACCTGAACCAGCTAATCAAGCTGTTTGTAGCACCCCTGAACTAAACTAACCAGCTAAAAAGGGGAATCACACAACTCTCATTTCCAAAAAAAAACTGTTGCCTTTTTAATTCCTTTTTAGGTCAAATCTGTGGTGGGTTAATAAAAAAGGACATTTTTAATAGAGTGGTTGGATTTTTTGCTTATTTTAATTTAGAGTTTTCAAACTTTGATTTGAAGCAAAGTAATATAAAAAAATCTGACAATCTCTGGCTCAAGAGATATTAAATTAATTTTTAACTGTAATTGAACAACCTTAACAAGGTAAAAACTACAATACCATGAGGTATTACACAATTACAATTAAAACAATGGAGAGATGAAATGTGCACCAATACGTTTTTGCTTGTGTGTGTGTGAAATCAATTGCTAGTTTATTGCCAAATATGTAAGTAGTATGTTAAAGCCATATATACTCAAAAAAGATTTTTCTGCTTGTTCAAAATACTTGTGTGAAACACATTCTTGAGATTTTTTAGGTCAACTTAATGGTTTCATGTTTTATGTTTATGTTATGTTAAAGTTAATGTGATCGGTTTGTGTTGGGACAACCTGAATTGTCTGCACATTTTAGCGAGACCCAGTGGATTACATAATTTGCAGTACTTCATGGGAATGAGTGGATCTAAAGATTGCTTTTGGTGTGCTTTGCCTGCTTCAACACAATTTCTCTGCAGCTCTTTGACTATATAACTTTACTAATGTGAGCAGATGGGTTCTGTAAAAGCATATTCAATGGATCAACAGCCTTTTTAAAAACTCTTTAAAAGTTCAAGAGTTAAAAAAATTTGTTTTTTTAAATGTATTATTACTAAAAAGCTTCTGTCTTGAGCTTCTTTTGGCTGTTGTGTGAACAGATCATTTATAAACTCATATCACTGAGTAAATGCAATCCCAAACACTGACAGTGCGACCATACCCTATAATGAGTGCGCAGTTAAGATGTCACAATTGAGCAGAAGCGCAACCCGCAAAACACACCAGTCATCCTTTTCATGTTTTATTCTTTCCGTCATGTTGAAGAGAGTCAGAATAAAAAGGATGCTTTGATGGCCGGCAATACAATGTCTTTATAATCCTCATTATATCGTAGTATTTCTCATAGTTCAAAGGTCCCTGCTCTCAGAATATGCTAGAAATAAAAGATTCTAGACGCTTCATTCAGGTTGTGATTTTTCTCGGTTTGACCTCTGGGTCTTTTATGGTCAGTGGCCCAGCACAGTCACTCTGGTTCAGCCAGTTTCTGTTGAATCCCTGGGGTCCTTAAAGTCACCCTCTATTCTGGCCCGTGTTAATCTTGCCTGGTAAGAGTTCTGAATGCTCCTCACTCTGGCTTGCACTTCTAATGCTCCAGCTTCTTTGTTAGGCCATCTGGTTGTGGGGCAACCCAGGATCCCAGTTTAGGGTAAGCAGGGTGGCCCAAGTGCCTCCACTCATGTCTGGTCAACCCTAATAATGTGTGACAGACTCACTGAAATGCGCTCACTGGCTCTTCTCTGCCTTGTTCTTGTTTTACATCTTTATCTCTTATCAGGGTGGCGATGATTATTAGACTACAAAACAAATTGAAAATACGATTATTTTGGCAGTCAGATTAACAGTATTGTTCACTATTTATCTTAAAAAAAGAAAAATAGATAGAATATGTATACACAAATGTTTATATTTTTTGTAAAGGTTTTTATTTATGATTTTTTTTATTCTATTCAGGAAGGATGCAAGTTATCTGGGGAAACAAAGATTTTAAACCAGTGAAAAATGATCTTGGCTTTAAACAGTGGGCATTAAAAAGTATCAGAAAGATTGGGGATTTATTTGAAGGAGAAACACTGATGTCCTTTAAAGACCTTAATGAAAAATTTATAATACCAATGATGCATTTTTTTTTTAAATACGTATAAATTTGCAGCTGTATTAATGTCAAGCAAAACTAGCTAGACCTCTACAAACTGAATTTGAAAAAATAGTGTTTTATAAGAATCCTGTGACAAATTATATTTCATTGTTTTATAGCAAATTGATCAATAGCTCTAAAGAAATATCAGAATTCAAGAGATTTTTGATTTGCAATATGACATGACAGATTTAGAATGGAGCTAAATACATGTCCCAGAACTTAAAGCCAAAAACTTGTCAATTAATACTAGATTTAAAATGATCCAATATAACTGGGCAATGCATACCTATATCACACCTGAAAAACTAAACAGGTTTAACCCAAACATCCCGGATACATGTTTCAAATGCCAAAAACATAAAGGAACATTCTTTCATTGCATCTGGGAATGTGAAGTGGTAAAGATTTTCTGGCAAAAGTAATCACATTAATCTCATCAATTATTTTAAAACTGATTCCACTTACACCTGAAATATGTGCTTTGAGTTTATTTCCTGTAAGTTTGTCATTACCAGGTTATTAAACTAAAATGATTGACATGTGTCTTGACATTATAGTTATTGCTAGGCGTTTGATAGCACTCTATTAAAAGAACATGGAAAGATTTGACACATTACATTGCACTGAAAAGAATCACCTACAGTATAAAGGGCAAATTAAAGAGTACTATAAAATTTGGCATCTGTTTATACAACTTTTGGAACAAAACCATACAAAGGCACAAGAAAATACCTCTCATGCTACTGGTTAATTGATTGATATGTGTCTGTGTATTTTTTTTTATGTGAACTACAGTATATGTTTTTCTTTGCCTTAGCCCATGTTTAACAATTCATTTACCTGTTCAACTGAATTTGGATGCTTTGGGAGAGGGAGGTAAAAAAGTGTAACTACATGCTAAATTTCAAGTGTTTTTTCTACAATAAAAAATAAATAAATACATTTTATATATATATATATATATATATATATATATATATATATATATATATATATATATATATAT